TAAAGTCTGAATTAACTGAAGTAACAAGACTATATGAACTTGAAAGAGTGCTATGTGAGCATATAAATAATTCAGCATATATTCCCTCATGTCTAACTACATTAAAAGGGAACGCTCTAACTTTATTTCTATTCTCAATATATATTTTTTATGTTTAGCCAATTTGAAACCTTTGCATCTCACTAGAAAATGACTATAACTATTTCAAGCTTTTTCTCTTGTTTCTTTGCTTATCAGGGAAGTAGCTCTTTGTGTAGCGACCATTATTTAAACAAGTGCCAAAATATGCACAGCTGGCAACAGGAAGAGCTGAAACAAAGTGTAAGAAATAAGGAAAATTAATGTTTATTGTGCTCTTAGCACATATACACTTCGGCAGAGCTGGTCCAAAGTTTCCGCTGCTCGTACACAAGTGTATCCAACACTATGTGTGTGTGTGTTTGTGTGTGTGCATGTATTTGTGTGTACCCGCCATATATGGTGGGTGTAAATTTACATAAAGGTTGCCACTTGCTGCTGTTGCTTTTTTCTTTGGCAGGAAAATTGCATTTCCCCGAGCACAAGAGCAAAAGAGAAGAGCGCAAATGTTAATCAGCTAAAAGTCATGAAGGTGGCTGCTGCTGCGTGGACTACAGCTACTTTTGGCCAGGTGTAAGCAAAATGGGGTAAGAATGAAGCAAAAAAAAAAAAAAAAAATGCGGAATGAAATGCAAATTTAATTGTATGCCAGCTGAATTAATGGGCAGCGCACAAACTTGAGCATCCGCCAGCCCAACAACAACAGCAACAGCAACAACAAGAACCACAGCAAGAACAGCAAGCACAGCCACTTTTCCGGTCTATGCTAAACTTAAGTGGACAACGTGGCATGCGGTTAGGGTATCTGGGTTGACATATGCCCATGGATTACCGCACATCTGGCAGTCTTTGATCGTTCAAATGTCCTCTGTATCCATGGCAACTGAACTTAAACTCAATTTTTATTCATTAATTCAGCATTTGCGTTTTCATTTTTTCAGTGAAAATAGTTTATAAGCTATATAGAGGCCAACGTTTGCTATCAGGATTATACATATATATTCAAGTAATGCTCAATGTAATGTAATTGAATTCAATTTAAATTTAAAATTTTTTTTTTTGTATATTAATATACGTTAATTATTTTACTATTTATTTTTGATTAATATTATTAATGTTTTATATTATTATTTTATATTGTATTAAGATTTCAATTTACTTATTTTTACTATTTATTTTATAATTATTCTT